TCCCCAGGACTGGGACTTAAAGCTTTGCTGTGGCACATGTGAAAGTCTGCAAAAGAAAACAGCCCATTCAGCACATTTATCACATTTGTGATTATCAGCTAAGTGACCTGAGGTGTTCATCCAGCTTTTCTTGAAAAAGCCCGCGGAACTGGCTTTGGCGATATGGCTGGGGAGCTTGTTCCATGCTCCCCCCACCCTTTGTGTGAAGGTGTGCCTCCAGTTCTCCCTTTTACTTCCCTGTAGTCTACAAGTTTGCTTTTGATGTGTTCTTTTCACCTCTATATTTGATCCACAAGTCTCTGGCTCGTGGTACAGAAGTGAGAACAGAGTGTTTCAGGCTTTTTTGCAGCCTCAGCAGACCTGTGAATTGTTCAGCAAGGTGTTGTAGTAAATGATTGAAATGTATACACAGGTCAAACATTATTTTTTGTATGTGGGGTACAGTTAAGCCACAGTTGATTCCTAGCCTTGAAATAATGTATAGAACACGAATGAAGCTTACAAATGAGAGGAAGCCATTTGGCCATGTAGCATGTTTGGTAGTTCGTAGCGCACTGATCCAAGGATCTGACTCAGATGTTGAAGAAAAAGCTAGGGTTTGGGCTTCAACGATCAAGGGTTCCCACAACCCTTTCTGTAAACAAAGTGATCTCACTATTTGTTTCTTGTAAGAAGCCAGGGTATCGGCTTAAACAACATGGCTGGGAAGCGTGTTACTCACTCCCACAACCCTTTGGTTAAGGAAGTGCCTCCTGTCTCTCAGTTTTAAATGAACTTCTAATGTGGTTTCCACTTGAGTCCTCTGAATGTACAGTAATTGCGGCCAGGGCTTCACAGACAAAAAGATAAGCGTGTTCAATAATATTAGACATCAAATACACCCTTCTATAATGGAGCCCTGCCACAATTCATGAAGGCACAGTGTCTGTGATCTCATCGTCACACAAAGATTTCTCCTTTTTTAATGGACAAAGCCTAGTTTCCTTGTTGATGAACTTTCCAATTATGCCAAAGCTAATGACAAGGAAATGCTGCAGTTGCAAACAGATACTCTGGGGGCCTAATTAGTTCAACTTATTTGCTGCTTTGAATATCATTCGAAAATTCCGACTAAATAACGCTTTTCCAAAAATAATATGACGACATGCAGCCTAAGCTGTACACAGTATCTCTCCCTGCCCCAGGTACGATATCTCTGGGCTCCGGGACTGAAATGCAGCCGGTATTTTTTGGTGACTCATTTTCTTTGTTTCCCCTCCAAGCTCAGCATTTTGAGCCTCTCCTCGTTAGGTGGCCAACACACTGAAACCCATTAATATAGAACAGAGAAACTAGGCCCAGAGGTCCCCCCCCCCCCCATAAAACGAGGCTTTAACTGATCACATTGTGTGAAAGCTGAGGATCAGCGTCTCATGACAGGCTGAAGAGATAGCCATTAGAACCGATACAAAAGGCCCCTTTCATTCCTCAGGAGGAGGGTTTGCCAAGCTGTGCCATTGATAGCTTAGCACTACGCCAAACTGTGCTTGTTTGCACAGATATCTGACTTTCTTTATTTTTTTTGTATAACAGTCTATCATTTTGGTGTTCTCTGACAAAGGAAGAAACTGTTCACACCTGTGTGGTGCCAAAGTGTGGGGAATCAAATTATCACAATACCACAACTGTCTACCCCCCCACACACACACACCTCGTACCCAGAGCTGCAAGCCCAAGAATCAGAACCCAGCAGCCCTGAGGGGTTGGGGGAGGGGAGCGGAGGGGGTCTGTATTTGATTCTTGAAGTAAAAGTGCGAATGTAACTGAAAATGCGACGTGCAAGGCTGGGTATGAACCCAGGGGTGTTTCTGTGGAGAGCGTTCCTGGAAAGAGGGGGTCAAGGATCCCTGGGGTGTTACAATGGCTGGCATGGTAGCCTACGCTGTACCTCAGACCTGCTGCTAAATAACTGCTCGGTCTAATAAATGTCAGTCTCTTCGAAAAGCCCTGAATCCATTTCCTGTACAAACTGTCAGAACAAAATCTTCACCAGAGCTGCTCGCTGCTCGCTGCAAGAAAGGAATGGTTGCCACGGAAACCCTTTTCTTAAAATCTCCACACTGCGAGCATTAAGCTCCTTGAGGAGGAGGGGGGGGGGGGTGTGTGTTGGAAAACAGCGATGGAGGATTTTTCCACCTCCCTCCCGATTCACTCACTGGAGGGTTTCTCCGGTGGGTGGGTGGCTGGGTCCAAGGGTGGGGGGATTATTTAAGATTCCCTTTTTGTTTGTATGTTTGTTTGTCAGTATCTGAAACAAGCGGCGCTCGGCGCTCGTTTAAATGTGAGGAATCTGAGGCGCTTTGATGTCAGCACACGGCTTTGCTGCGTTTCTTTCGTGCGGGCGACGTTTGGCAAATGCAGAGTAGGTATACGGAGCCACGCACAGACTGCGAAAGGGCACCAGTGCTTAGAGTGCGTTTGTCTCTGCTGGGGAAAAGGTTAAATGGCAGTAGCATCTCATAAAGCCACATAAAACAGATGCATCTCTTCGAAGAAGACAAAGGAAAATGTTTGAAAGGTAGGCATCTACAAACGCCTGCTCTGCACGTCGTGTGTTCGGCTGCTTGAAGAGGCATCTTTTATGGTTGTTGTCTCTGAAATTAAAGGCGATGTTGAGGGCTACTATTCAAAATAAAAAGGACTTTGTAAAAGGCTCTGCCTGTGCTAGGATATATAAATGTAATTTACAGGCATGGATATTTCTCTGCTAATACCTGGTGGAAGGTTATTTGAATTGCTTTAATGCACATTAATGCGTTTGGATGTTCAAGGATGATCAAGTGCAGGGATGACTTTAAGCCGCGTGCATCAGTGAATCTCTCTGGGTGATGCGTGGGGTAAGGGGGTGCTCTTGAAACGGCAGGTTTGTGGAAAGTTTGGCTCCATTTGGTCTGAACTATCAGGGGGCCGCCACATTGTCCTTGAGGCTCCTATATGCTCAGAGGGGAAGTCGGAAAGGCAGAGGTCGCCTGAGTTAACACTGTCCTAGACACAGGATATTGATGTTGCTCCTCATAATGGACAAGACTTCATTAAAAATATATTCTTTTGTGTAAGTCACATGAAAAATTAGACCTCCTTAAGAGCTTTCTCATGTTCACATGTGTCTTCCAGCCTTCCATGTGATCTATTTCACCTATTCATTTCTTTGAAGCTGCTCTGTTTATCTTTGGAAGCAGATCATTACATGTCTGTGTAGATAAATTTCAGAGTTGCCCGATTCTGAAAGCTGAACGTGACTGATCTGAGACAGGTCTGGGAGAAGGAGCTGTGAAACTACAACATTTTACGAAGAAGATAAAGGCCTGTCTTTGTGTCTCTCTGAAGAGTCTTAAGACTTCTGTGACGAGCCTGTTTAAGAGCAAAGCACTGTTCCTGGAAGAGCAGCCTGTTTTAGATAAAAGGTTTCCAAGCTGGCGGCAGGTCATTGATATGCAAGCTGGTGTTGACGGGAGCTGAGGTCTTCGTCAGTGCATTCCATCAGGCAGCAGATCTCTTGTGTTCATTCCATCAGGCAGCAGATCTCTTGAGTTCATTTCTGTAGGGCAACATTAATTAAACATCTGAATTTGTCCTAGTTTCGCTACATGCTTCGGTGGGATTAGAGGCATGCAGTGGGGAAAAGATATAGCAGTTCCAGACACTAAGACCCTTTTAACCTGTTTGTGAGAGATCTGGGTTGCCAGTGCTGTGCATATTCATGCTGCTGTTTAATAAAACGCCACAGCAGTCAGAAGATACAGGTCGGGCATGCTACGAACCCACACTTTGTAAGGCACCATCTTTCCTTATTGTGAAGGCAGCCTTTCCTTAGGACTTAAATAGTGAATCATTTCTGCTTTGTGAAAGCTGACTTATTGGGATTTTTCACCAACCTCCTCGATAAAATCCTTGGATCAATATGCTAGCAGTAACCAGAGGAGGAAGATGGGACTCCAGATGCTTTTTTCATTCCCTTTCTTACATTTGTGTTTCTTGTCTTCTATTCCAACCGCCATTGATGCTGGTTTTCTTGTGTTGTAACCAGAACTAGGTGCAGGGTTGGCATGCATTGCATACTTGCTGCTGTCATAAATAATATTGCGGTGTAACTCCAATTCTGGAAGGTTAACGAACAGAGGAATGCGAGTGCGTGCCCTTTTTCTGTTCTATTGTTCAGCTGAAGGTATTGGGATATTGCAGAGAGTGGGGCTTCTCCGTGGCAGGTGATTCAGGGGAACAGACACAGCAGCGTTAATGTTACCCCATCCCATTCTCCCGGGGGTCCCAGTGCTCTGCAATTACCGCACTGTAAAACCGAAATTGCTGAAATTAGAGTCAAGCAAAAATGTAAAAAGGGGGATTTACATATCAATGCAACAGGGACAGAAACGCGGGCAGCCAGGAAACGCTCAGTAGTTGAGAAAGCAGCAGGTTATTGTAAGGAACTCTGCTGTGCTGTCTTGTCTCCCAGCTCCGCTATTAAGTGAAGCCAGACGCACAATGTCACGCATAATTGCTCAAATGTACACTCGTCTTTCCTGCAGCAGATGGGCTTTTTCAATTGACGAAAGCTTCTTCTTAGCAGGGAAGAGGTATCATTAGAGTTGAAAATTGTCTGTACTTACAATTTGTCAGGAAAGCCATCGCGTCCAGGTAGCTAAACTAGTTATGTCACCGTTTTATTTTCCCCTCACTCCTTCCCCTTCCTGCCTTTTTTTTCCCGTCCTCACCTCTTTTATTGCAGTCACTTAGTGTTTTTTTTTTTCTTTACCCGAGTCCGCGAAAAATAAATAAATCGATGGGTTAAAATTGCCTCTTGTCCCAGGTATTGAGCGACTGCCGTTTTATTAGAGAATGATAAAAGCCGCAGCAGGAATGTGGCTTCGGGTGGCCGCGCTGAACCCGCTCCCTCACTTCTGCTGCTCTCAGTTTCTGCACGCGCTGCTACCCAGCAGTCTCCTGTTTCTTGTCTTTTCCAGCTGACATAATCTCCACTGTTGAGTTCAACCACACGGGGGAGCTCTTGGCCACGGGGGACAAGGGAGGGCGAGTGGTGGTGTTTCAGAGAGAGCAGGAGGTAAGAACGATTCCGAGAATTCATCTCCTCTCACGGCTTATATAGCGAGGACATCTCCTCTCCAAGTCATTCTGGCAGCAGTGGGTTTCCTGGCAGCGTCACCTTCATCCGTTCATTTTCTAACTCCTTTATCCAGTACAGGATCGCAGTGGAGCCGGAACCTATTCGGCAAGCATCAGGTACAAGGCAGGATACTCCCTGGGTGGGACACCAGTCTGTCACAGGGGACATCCAGCCATAGACAGACAAGCACACACTCACACTAGGGCCAATTATCCAGTTGGGCTCCAGCTCTGAGAGGCAGCAATACTAACTACTGTACTGATCCCAAGGGCCTGGGCAGTGTCGTATATTCTATTAGATTATGTGCAAACCCACTATGGCCATAACCAACGAGAGACATGGGAACAGTTGTGCCTTTCTTTGATTTCTTCAACAGATTAAACTAACTGCTTACTTGTACCCTTCAGATCCAACATTTAATACATAGAGATATTTGGAGCTGCACATTTTGCTTACATGAGCCACAGTCTGCAAACCCTGTTTTTTTTTTTTTAATTCTCTGATGTGACTGTCAGTTTATCCCCCTCCCCATCGCCGCCACTCTCCTCTCGACAACACATGGCTGTCACCCGCAGAGAGTTAAGAAGCCTTCACTGCTAACACGTTTACCTCTTTTTTTTATGCTTTGTTCTCCCCCTCACCCCTCCCCATGGATTTATGGGTGTCCCGAGGTGCGACTTCATCCCAGCCTTTTGGTGATGGGCTCGTTAGAGAGACTTTAAATGGGCTGTCTAGTTTTCAATCTGCTACTGAAGTTAACAATTTAACCCAGCTAATGAACTGTTCATAGCACTGCAGCCTTTCAGACATTTCTCTTGATCTGACATTTATTTTTCATTTCTTCTCCTTTCTTTCTCTTGCCACCGTTCCCCAGTGCCTCTCCTCTTTCTTCGTTCCCAATTGCAGGCTTTTGTGTTGCCGTTGTGTTTCAAACGGTCTGAATTCCAGCTTTGCCTCTCTGTGCTAGCGCAAACCCTCTCCCTTTGTGACCTCTTTATTGATTTTTCTTTCCTGTTTCCTTTCGTTTGAGACATTACACTGCACCCGAGCGTCACCTGGTTCCTCGATCTGTGTTGCAGAGCAAGAACCAGCCCCACCGCCGAGGGGAATACAATGTTTACAGCACTTTCCAGAGCCACGAGCCTGAGTTCGACTACCTGAAGAGCCTGGAGATTGAGGAGAAGATCAACAAGATTCGATGGCTGCCACAGCAGAATGCTGCCTACTTCCTTCTCTCTACGAACGGTATGCTTGGGGTGGAGTAGGGGAGATCTGCAGTTTGCTCTGCTGTCAGACCAGCGGGCCTGACCAGCACCAGGACAGACAGCCTGTCCCATGTTGTAGACGTCTCGTGTGAATAAACTAGATCCGGTGATTTTCGAAATCTCAACGCGTTTCCTTGGTGGCTTGCTGGGCTGCTCTCTTTGTCTGCTCTTAACTTGTGCTGTAAGATGGGAACTTGGGGAATTCTGCAGACGGCCTTGACCAAATTTTCCAGAGCTTTCTACAAAAGTGTGTCGTGGACAGTTCGCCAGCGCTCACCAGATTTTAGTGTCGTGTTGTGAACCACTGGTCTGGTTCTGCACCCAGCACACCCACCTCTGCCCTTCCATTACTGCCCTGTCCGTGCTGCACTCTGAGATTCTGTTTGTCACCCCTCCCCCCTTGCAGATAAAACAGTGAAGCTCTGGAAGATCAGCGAGCGAGACAAGAGACCGGAAGGCTACAATCTGAAGGATGAAGATGGCAGAATTCGAGACCCTTCCACTATCACGATGCTGCGGGTAAGGAGGTCCAGTCCAGTCCTGCCGGTGGTGCAGGTATTCAGAGTATTAAGTATTCAGACGCCTGCTTCCCAGCACTAGCGTGTAAATATGTAAGTGGGAAAAGTGAATGGCAAGCCCGTTTGTTAGAGTGGCCAGTGTGGTCTTGCAGCTGAGAGCTGAAAGGCATGGGGACCCTCGTGTGCGTGCGTGCGTGTGCGTGCGTGTGCGTGCTTGTGCGTGCTTGTGCGTGCTTGTGCGTGCGTGTGGGTGCGTGTGCGTGTGTGTGTGTCTGAAAGGTGACACGTGCAGACAGGCTACGGCACTCCAATCTGCACTTCTGTCAGTGTGATAAAAAGCATGTGAAACATCTGCAGGCAAGAGAGGGCCATCTGTTCGTGAATCGGACAGCCTGGGGTCCAATTGTTCCCAAGGTAGGACAGAGCCCCCTTGCCTGTTAGATGGAGAAGAGTCTCGGGACTGTAAACGCAAATACTCTGCACAAATGGTAGAGAGGATTTCAAGTAAAAGAAATTAGTACTCAGTGTACCCTGTTATAAGTCTCCCTCTGCTCATTGTTTCACACCTACGTTGTTGATGAATAGAGGAATTCAATGTAAAAATTCCCTAGTCTTGTGTTTCAAGGCAGCAAAAGTCAGCACTGTACTGTAGGTGGTTTGTGGATGATACTGTTTCAGAATTGAAACAATATTGTGAATGAGCAAAATCTAACCTTAAAAAATGTTCTTCTTGTAGACAGCACTGTTGCACATGACTTAGACTATTAATCAATGTGCCCAATCATTAAAGTTGGGTTCTTACCACCAAGTGTCACTGATCCAACCTGTGGATCAAGGCCTGATCAGTAACTTTAAATGAACAAACAGCATCTGGAAACAAATCAACCCTAAAGCAGCAAATGACTTTGTTGGTTTGGACATGACTGCAATTCGAAAGGAACTGGTAATGCTATGTAGTGTATAAACTGTATGAGTTGTAGGTACATTAAATGTACATACCTGTAGCTGAACTGAATGTTGAGAATGCAACGGACATATACTTATAAAGAGACTCTCTGTACTGTATTTGGTGGCTACATCCATATCCAACTCTATTCCCTTAATTCTTCTTGGAAAAGCCTTCCGCTTTAAATCACAGGTGAAAGTTTATGCTCTGACGGTCCTGAACCCTCCACATTTGCACTGTTCTTATGGAGAACAGTTCCCCTTTGTGTGTCATTTTGTTATACACTGTGACTTTCTGGTCCCTGACCTGCCTGTAACTGCAGAAGCGCATGGACTCTTTATTATTTTCTCTGCCACTGGAAAGAGCGTGCATTTTGTGGTCTGTGGGAGATGAAAAAGACGTTTTTTATTTCTGGCTGAACACTGCCAGAATAAGTAAGCAGCTGGAGGGGAGTCGCTAGAGGATTCGGTGCAGCGTTCACAGCTGGCTTGATCTCACGGGGTGTCCCTGTGACTAACCTCCCCCCGGGTTTCTAACTCTGAGCTCTCCAGGAAATGATCAGGGTTCGGAAGAGCTGTGTCACGATGAGAACTCTGTGCCTCTGCTTCTGCCTGACAGCTATTAGATGTTTAGCTCCCCTAGAGCAGATGTGACCTTGGGTTTTGCACGTGGTTATGAAGGACAGACCCCTGCCCATGGAGTGTTTTGAGGTTTTGGTAAATGGAAGAGATCCAGGTCTCTTCAAAGCACCACTGGAGGCTCTTTCTTTAGGGCTATAGGTCCTTTTTTTCCATGTGTGGAGGCAGCTTTCCAAAACCACACGCAATCCAGCAATCCAGCACACACACACACAATAGATCTGAAGAGGCACGTGTGTGCTGCGACGTGCCAACGGCAGCACTACTGCATGCCAAGACGCATTGCTACTGTGCTCAGCAGGAGTGGAGAGAATGTTTGTTTTGTTGGGATTTTTTTTCAATTTGCATCCTCACTTGATTTATTTCCTGGGAAGGAAACAACCTGTGAATTCCGCCTGTAGGAAAAGGGGGCATGCTCTGCTTTCTTGTGGTTCTTTCCCTGTTAATAATAGCTGGATCCTTTGGCATGGCTTGTATTTGTTTAACAAACAATGCTAAAGTTGCTGTCAATATATCGAACTGAGTCACAGCAGGCTGCATCATTTTTTTTTTACTTGCATTTTTTTACACTGGGCCAAGATTGACCCTTACATAATGCGTGCTTAGAAATCAATATAAATAAAACTGCAGGGATGATGAATTTTGATGTAGACCAGGAAGGCCATTTTGTCTAAATGAGATGTCAAAAACTGTTCTGAGATTCTTAACGGGCGCATTTTCTGATGCCTGAGGATACAGTTCTGAAATAATACACATTGCTAATCTGATTTGCATCAGAACACTGATTTGCATCACACCCAACTTTAGTGATGCACGTGCACTGTGTTCTCCAGACCATACAGTACCTCACTCCATCCCATTTGTTAACAGTCAGCTACGACTGTAGCTTCAATCCAGAGTAATAGGTCCCTATCTTATAATCAGGAAAATTCTGATTATAATTACACGTGCCATCATCTACAGACATAGAATTAAGAAAATATCCCAGCAGAAGGGCGTACAATGACAACTTCATCTGGGTAAGTTCGTGACTTGACAGAAATCTGACTTGTAAATGTGTAAGTTGTGAAGAGGGCGTATAATCTTTAGTGTGTAGGAGAGGCAGTGTGTTCAAGGGGTGTTGCTGTGGTTAAGATGTCACAGGATGGATCAGACCTGTCTCCTCCACCTGTAGGCTCTCTGGAGACACTCTGTTCAGGTTAGTTAAACATGTGTGTCCATGCCCTCTCATGGACCGATGTCCCATCCAGGGTGTAGCTCTGCCTTGTGCCCTGTGCCTGCCAGGTTGGCCTATGGCTCACTGCAACCCTCTTGGGATAAAGTGGTTACTGAAAACGGGTGGATGTTGTGAAACATTTAAAATACAGTTAGATCAACACAGTTGTACTGCTGAAT